ATTGAAAAAGTTATAAAAGCTAGATCTAAATCAAAATCCCAAATCCAAACACTCCTCAAGGACAATCAAAATTACTCCTCACCTCCACTAATATGAGTGCATGGAATAAATTAGAATATAAAAATGTATATATTAAATTTAACTTTTATACAGGAGTGAATGGTCTAAATTGAAACTAATCCAACAGCTATCAAAATCCCACTATGCTAATATTAATATATGGCATTGTAGGCATACACTTTGGACCTCACAATATTAATTATCCTTGGTTTCCTCAAGAGTTATTATAATATATTATATAATGGATTGTGTAACTCAAATGATTAAGATTTAATTCTTATGGTAGGCATGTAAGTAAATGCCATCCCATCTCATGGTGCTGTTGCTGCCATATCCCTTCAAGAAGCACCACCACAACCAAGAGCCATGTGCTTCTCCAGAGGCTCCAACAACATTGCCATGCTCAAATGTTTTTTATGTGTCTCTACAGCAGTCACTAATTCTCAAGGTGCAGGAGCGTCTAACCATTTCTTGATGTGCTTCTGCAGACAATAAGATGATGATCTCACAGCATTCGGCACCACTTAATTGATCCACTGCTCCAGCTTTTCTTTCAGCAGTAAGAGGTAGCTAGAGTTGAGACCACCAAACACCATTCCCATCCGTTTCCACTTCCATAAAAACAAGATGGATAATGCTGTTGTAATAGGTCAAATAAATGAGTTAAAATTTATAACTTGTCTGGCACTGGAAGTTACAGAGATTGAGATCGATACAATTGCTAGAAATCGTGACCAGAAATTATATTCTGAATGAGGCTTTTAAAAAGAAAAAAAGAAAAAAAAAAATGGTACTTTGCAAAAACTCATGTCAACATAGACAGACCATCAGCTCACTTGCTCTCCGATCAAATCCAGCCCGATAACAAGGAACGAAATCCCTTGGAACAGCAAAAAATAAAAGTGTACCCCTTGAGCAGAGAGCAAGCTCCTTGCAGCCGCGGTGAGCAGTAGAAATGCGAGCGTCAACTCCTTCCTGTACAATCGATTCCCTTTCTTGCCTGCCTTCTTGGGCTTGTCCTGGAGCTTGGCCAGAAGATCCAAGCCCGACTCGGACACCACTCGCAGGTGTTGCTGCTGCTTGGGAAGGACTTCCGCAGAGTCCCGAGATATGGCCGCCAGCAAGTCCGCCTCGGACGCTCTGCCTGTTTTCTTCGTCACCACCCATTCGTACGCGCTGCCGAGTTGGAAGAGGCCGGAGATCATGGCGTTAAACTTCGTCACCGACATGGTGTTCTCGAACAGGAGGTACGGTACCAAGAACGGGAATGATCTGGGTGCCGGGAGGACGTTGAGGAAGGACATGACGGCCGGGACGTAGCAGATCACCCACACTGGCAGGTGCGACTCCGGCACGAACATCGTCATCGGCAGGATGATGCAGAAGAGCGTAAACGAGTAGAACGGCAGTATGAGCTTTCTCAGCAAGAAGAAGAGGAAGATCAAGTTGCCTTTTTTCCAGAGGGGAATCTGCAAGGCGGCACGTATAAGATAAGTTTTTCTATGCGAGAAAGCAAGTGACACGGACCTTTGCAGTGACGATATCAGGCATGCAGAGGCGGAAGAGCTGCATTGGTCCCGAGTGCCATCGGTGCTGCTGCTTCCTATACGCCTCGTAGGACTCTGGTAGCTCGCAGAGGCACTGAAAACATGCAACGAGCAAACAAATCAGTCCGAGCAGATTGGAGGCCAAGAGAATTACCCGAACATCGTTTACAAAGAGGAACTTCCAGCCTTGTAAATGCGCGCGGACAGCGATGTCCATGTCCTCGACTGTTGTCCTCTCTAGCCAGCCACCAGACTCTTCAAGTGCCTTAATTCGCCAGACCCCAGCTGTTCCATTGAAACCAAAGAAGCTGAGGAAAACTCCATTCACCTGTTGCTCCACCTCGAAGTGGAACGACAGATTGACGTTCTGGAGACGAGTGAGGAGGTTTTCATCCTTGTTCGTGAAAGACCACCGTGCCTGAACCAGTGCCAGCTCGGGATCTTCCTGTAAACACCAAGGAACGATGGAATTGTCAGATATCTCAACCAACAAACTCAAAGTATTCACGCTGCTCTACCTTGAGATGTGGAACAGTCACTTTCAGGAAATCGGGCTTAGGCTGGAAATCTGCGTCGAAAATCGCCACAAACTCGTAGTCTTTCACGTAATCACAGGCCATAGCAGACTTTAAATTGCCAGCTTTGTAGCCACTGCGAACCAAGCGATGCCTGTAAACAATGTTCACTCCCTTTTGACGCCACTTCTGTACTTCCCCTTGAATAAGCAGCTGGATATCCGGCTCGTCAGAGTCATCCAACACTTGAATTAGCAATCGATCCTTGGGCCAATCAAGCTGACAAATCGCCGACACTGACTGCTCATACACCTGGATAGAAAAGAGAAAGCCAGTAAAAAAAAAAAAACTCCCCCAGTCAGAAACAAAGTGAAAAAACAGAACTCCAATCTACCTCTCGCTCGTTGCACATAGGAACCTGAACCAGCACCATGGGAAACCCAACACCCGGCTGCTCCAAATCCTGTGACTCCAAAGTCGCCGGATTCGCCACCACTTTGATCCTCCTATACTTGATCCACAAACACCCGACGCAGAGTATGATCCTGTCAGCGCTCTGGATCAAGAACAGCACGATGCAAAAATTCGCCAGCGTCTGGAGCGGAGGAGCAATGTAGTTTGCTCGCAACTGGACCCAAAACACGTACACCGCCTGGAGCATGCTGTGCAAGCTCAAAGAAGACGAGGATGGCATGCGCAGCCGGGGCGTCCATCCGGAAGTGTGAGCAATGAGCTCGAATCCCAGCATCACCAGCGCGAATGCCAGAAACCCCTTGATGAACTTGTGAAGTTTCCCCCTGTGAGTGTTCGACTTCTCCGGGTTGGCGACCCCTTGTTTCTGGACGAGCCTCTTCTTCACAGCACTGAGAAGAAGCCACAGGCCGTGGGCGAGCCATGCCAGGCATCCAGCGGCGCGATGGGCTTTGAGGAGAAGCACCCAAGTTAGCTGCTTGGCATTCTTTCCCCTGCCCTTCTTGTCAAACGTAGTGGCGCCGCCACTGCCCGGGCTCTCGATCTCCAGCATCGACCAGTTTGGATTGTCCATCTTCACCACCACCGGAGTTCCCCTGTGATCTTGCTTGGACCACCAATCCGCGAAGTCGAAGCTCGTCGGCGGCATCGAGCGGGGGAGAGAGTTTAGTCGTCAGATTCGGTGGCTGCGCTGGAAATTTGGCATGCGAACTTAATTGCCTCTGCAAGATCTTCTTTTTCGTGCTGGCTCTCGAGATTGATTCGATAGAAAAGAGCTAGAGCAATGCTTACTCTCGGGCTCGCATGCCAATCATGGACGAAATGATGTCCCTGTCACAAATTCGCTGCTTGGAGCTCCAGCATTGCCGCCATAGATCTTCGGTTTAGAACCCAGAGAAGCACCCAAAGAACGAGAAAAAAAAAATGGGGGGGAAACGAGGATGGGAGGAGAAAAAATTCCCAAAATTGCGTGTCAAACAGCACTGGATTCCAGCAGCCGCCCCAGAAGAGACAACGGCAATTCTGGAATAGTAAGGAGCCGTGGTCAGAAACGCTGAATTTCGCACAGCTACAGTGGCGCCGCGAAGAACGAAGGCGAGGAACGCGACAATACGACACGGGGAAGGAAGAGAAAACGGAGAAGGAGCAGCAGTGCGCTACAGTGCTCTACACAAATCCCTAAACCCTAATCCTCACGGCACGGACTCTCCCTCCCTCTCTCTCCCCGGCATTGAGCAGCAAAATCCAATGCGCTTGTGAGCGATCCCCTCCCTTTGCCGATCGAGCTGCGCTCCTCCCCTCTCTCTCTCTCTTCTCGCGCGAGGAACCCTAAAATCTGGAGTGGAGTGGATCGATCAATGCACTTGTAGAGGCGCACGTTTTCAAACAACTCCCGCCTCTCTTTACTGTGGCCTTGGAGAGCAGGCTGACAGAATATCCAAGTAAGAAACATTCCGTTAGCGTTTGAGAATACAAAAAACCCTAATTTCCATAACATGTTGACAGAATAAGAACATTCCGTTAGTTTCGAATAGAAAAACCCTAAGTTCCTTTCAAGCTGGATCTTTCGTGATGAGACACATTATTTTTGGTGTTGTTCTTATAAGATTTACACCCACATCACCTCCTCCACACAGATCAACTTAAACTTGTGGGCATCTCTTTGGATTCCAGTGGAGCAGCATCACCTTGGCCTATAAACAAGCCACGGCGGAGTCGACGCAGCGACAAACCAAGGGTGGGCCAAGTTTGTAGACTACGAATCCGCAAAAAAAAAGGGGGCATTCTCTTTCGCTCGGCCCTGGATTCCCTCGCTCGAGAAACCAGCTCACGCTCGCCCGGGGCGGTGGTGTGTGTGTGTGTGACAAGTCTTTCCCAATTCTTCTTTGCTTATAAACTTTGAATTTAAGCCAAGAGAAAGAATCTCTCTGCGCAAGGTGGCCACCTTTGTTGCTTTTGTAAAGTCTTTTCTCCTCATGTGGGCGTGCTGCCAAACACGCTACGCTTACACACATTGCTCAGACTTGGCATGTTCGCCATGAGAAAACACTCACCAACACCGCTCGACTTTGAAGCTACGTGCGTGCGCGTAAACATTTGCATAGAATAGACAAAACCATTATAGTATGGTCCGGTAATAAAATATAGATATCATCCATGCATAAAGGTTTGGACCTTTTCTACCCGGACAGTTTACCATTCCAAAGTGACTGCAAAGTCATAAGAATTTAAATGCGGTCATGTTAGGCAATTTTTTAGAATTGTTTTTCTCCGTTTTTGCCAAGCCGTTAGGAATCTTACAGAAATTAATGTGTGAACCTCAACGACAGCGAAATCGATGTGAGCGATTGCTGGATACGTGTCTATGCATGGGATATTAGGGTTTATTGAGGGTCAAATTGTTTGCCCTAAGGGGTTTTTTGGGCGGGAGAGGGGGAATGGAGGTGCGCCATGGCGACTTGCTTGATCCTCATCCGGATATCACTGCGCTCTTTTGCTACTACAATGCGCTCTATTTCCAAGGCAAGCTTGGCGCTTGCAGTGTGCAGTGGAGCAGCAAACGCATGACTTTGTATCCTTTGCTTTGATCGCATTTTTCTGAGATTTTGATGGATGGGATTTGTTTTTGGCTCAGGTGCGCGGGGATTTGCAAGTACAGCTTCTGCGGTGGCTGCGAGATTCGCCTCTCGGAGCCGCTGCTCAAGTATCGGAGTGTGAGTGATCTCAAGAACACGCTTCTCCATGAGATGATTCATGCGTTTCTGTTTCTCGACAACGGGAACAAAGATCACGAGTGAGTATTTGTTGTCAGCTAAGAAGAAAAAGGTTTTTTTCTTCTTTCTGATCTCGTCTTTTTCCTTCATGTGGCAGTGATCATGGTCAATATTTTCTTGCAAAAATGAAGGAGATCAACGTCTCCAGCTTGCAAGATTTCGAGGTTCTATTTAGATTTTGCGAAACTTATTCTTAGCTTTTCCGTGTCAGAGACCTGTAGAAGGCTACAACATCACCGTATATCACAACTTTAAGGACGAAGTGAACAATTACCGTGTTCATCACTGGACGGTAGAACACATTTTTGCGCTCAATTTTTGGACGAGTCTTTGCTATTTTGCAGTGCCAGTCTTGTGGGAATCTTGTAAAACGAGCGATGAATCGAGCACCCTCGCCAGCTGACTGTACATTCAAAGCTGGATCGACAGGAGCCTGCTCACATCCGCGATGCCTCTGGCATACGTAAAGTTTCAACTTTCACGCTTTAGCTTTATCTTTCATCTTTGTGGATCAGGCACGAGACAACTTGCGGCGGCAGCTACTTGAAAACCGCGGAGCCACCGGGATACAAAGACAAGCGCAAGAAGAGGAAAGAAGAAGGTTTGTTTTAACTTTTGGAAGCTAAAGCTAGCTGGTGTGTTATCAAACAGGCTCTTCGATTGGAAGTGGTGAGAACAAGGCAGGAAAATCCCACAAAACCTCTGGGATGCCATCGAAGAACTTGAGCATCAAAGACTTTCTCAGCGTAGCAAGCGGCTCAAAGAACACAAACGCTATCGATTTAACCGCGGATGATCCAGGTTCGTGCTTAAATTGATGATTTTTATCAGAAAACTAACAATCTTTCTTGTGAGCTGCAGTGCACTGCTTCGTTTGTCCGAATCCAAATTGCAAAGAGACAATCGTGGGAGACTTAGGCAGGACCGAAACCATCGCAAAAATCAACCAGCACCTGGACAACTGCTTGATAAATTAAAGTTTTGTAAGAATGAGTGCACGAAGATGAATGAACTTTGCGTACCTTCTTCGATATGATATTGTGAAGGCGTGTTGTTCTCTTAGATTTGCTCTTCCGTGAGCACCGCATCCGTTACCGCCGCATTCGTTAGCACCGCATCTTGTTCGGGTGTCGCTGCTAGCGGCAGCTCCGCGTCCACGTTGAGCGGCAGCCTCCACCGGGAAATGTTATGCCATGATGGTCTTCGTGGTATCCGGGACTTCGGAAGTTGATCTGGAAATGCAGCGAAAGAAGATCAGCGAGAAGACAAGATTGAAAGAAACAAGGCGCTTACCGATGAGCCTTAGCACCGTATCTTTGTCTGGCAACGCTGGAATAGCCCCTCTCTCCGTGGTTGTGATTGCTCCACAGGCATTTGCAAATCGCAAGGCATCTCTCAGCCTTTTCTCGTCCTGAGGAGAAAGGCGGGATTTAGCTGATCGAAAGCATCAATTCTGGCGCTCTCAGAGGTTCGCTTACCAACAAAGAATATTGAAATCAGTCAGGATGTAAACGTACTGTGTACAAGGACATGTCGCTAACGAGCTGACTGTGGATTCCTCCGACGAAGGCGTCGCCGGCACCAGTCGTATCAACGGCTTGGACTTGAATGCCCTCGACTTTTCCGTGGAATTCCTGATGAATTTCGTTAGTGAAAGCACGATGAATAGCATTTGGAGCACTTACTTTTGTGTAGTAGCGGGAGCCATTCTGGCCCTCGGTAACCAGCAGTAACTTAAGATTGGGATGAAACATAGACAGTGCTGCCTCATCGGTATACGGATCCGCTCCATTTGTCAGAAACTCCAGCTCTTCCTCGCTGATCTTTGCTTGCAGAAAAGAGGAGGTAAGACACGCTCAAAATAAAAAGGTAGAGACGAAGAGCACCTTGATAAGGTCGGCTTTGTTCCAAATACTAAGAATGCCGATCCGGGCGTCTTCGGGCGTTGGCCAAAGGGGAAGTCTCAAATTGGGATCGTAAGACAACAATGCACCAGCCGACTTTGCGATGTCCATGGCAGCAAGGTGAGCAGAACGACATGGTTCCGCGATCAAACTGATCGAACCATAGTGAAAAATCGATGCCTGTCAAGAAGAAGAAAGCACCAGTCAAAAACATCGTCCTTGGAGAAACGAAGAACACAAAAGAATAGAAAATGAGAGAAAGAACGTTACCTGTTGTATGAGCTCAGCATCAAGCTCGGGTACTGTTAGAAGCATATCTGCGCTTGGATTCCTGTAAAACATAAACTCGCGCTCACCGTCCTCTCTCAAAGTAACAAAAGCCAAAGCAGTCCTCGCGTTCTGATCGAAACGAACCCCTCGGCTGTTGACTCTATTGTCCTTGAGAATCTCCACGAGCATGCATCCAAACTCGTCCTCTCCGACCTGGATGGAATGGAATTCTCAAAAAAATCAATCTGGCAGCCTGCATTCTCTATTCTGCTAGAGAAATCTCTTTCTCTCGCCCGTCTCACCTTGCCAATGAACGCTGAGTGACCGCCGAGGCGAGAAATCGCTACAGCGACATTGGCCGGGGCGCCGCCGGGGGCTTTCTTGAAGGCCGGAGCATCCGCCAGCGACAATCCCCCCACCGTCGGCACGAAATCCACGAGCATCTCCCCGAAACACACCACAAGATCCGACTTCCTGCCCTTGCTCCTGGGCGAGATCGATGAGGAGCGCCTCGGTCGCGCCTCCATCACTGCCGCGCAAAATATTTCCCAGCCCTAAAAAAACGCTCCATGGAAAATTAACTAAAAAGAATATGCTCGGCACCTTGTCTATACAGCTTCTTCTTGAAGCCTCTTGCAAGGCTTGCACAAGAAGCTTTGTAAAAGTCACCCTCAATCGCGGACTGCCACGTGTACGCCCGGCAAATATGAATGCACGCGTCACAACGTTGTTGGCCTCGCCAGAGAGTTTCCCGCCTTGTTGGTCATTTCCCTCGCATTGAGTGCGCTCTCCTAGGGTTCGTATGAAATCGAGGCGCTGGCTCGTCTAGGGTGTCGTAGTCTCAGGGTGGAGGCTAGAATCTCCTGGCGGTGGCGTTGCGGCAGGGTATAATGGCAGGCGACGAGAAAGATCGATCGATTGTTCCCTTCAGCCGCGCGGCGCTCGATGGCGAGGCTCGATTCAGGCAGTGCTGCGAGGTCTGGATTCTTTTCTTGTGCTGGGCGGGCTCTCAGTTCGTGGAAATTTGACAGGCAAGGCTCGCTTTGGATGAAATACGCATGGAGAAAGCTGTGGCGCTGTTTCGCGCAATCACATCGCTCAAGGATTCGTCCGTGCTCGGTGGCTCGGTAAGCAGTTCTCGTGTTTGTCGGTTTTCCAAAGTTTCTTTGTCGTCTTTTTTTTTTTCCAGGCAGATGAGGCCGAGCGTATTTGGATGGCATGCATTCTATATGTCTTGAAGAAGCTGGATAGGAATGAAACTCACACCTTTACGGTGTCGCAAGTTCTTCGTGCGACCAATGTGAGGTAAGATTGTTTTTGTTTTTTTTTTTTGTTGATCCTTTTGTGCCTGCTTAATTCGTCAACAGTATTGTCGAGTTTTTCAGGGAGCTTCCACAGTTCTTAGAAAAATGCACGGCAACTCTGAATGACCTTTACGGGGTAGAGTTCCAGGAACATCTTCAGGTATATCGCTTCTGATTGTTTCTTGTACTCCTGATTAAAAGAGTTCGACGTTGTTTCAGGCTAAGGAAGACCAAGCAACCTTCGTGCACTTGATGGTTCTGTTCAAGTGAGCTTGTTTGCACTGTTAAACTTCTCCGATGACAATTTCTCTGCAGTCACTACAATAGGAATTATCTGGATTACTTTAAGCCGCAAATGTTAAGTGATGGGACGAGCACTGGTCAGCAACATTTTGGCTGGTTTTTCTTCCTGGCTGTGCGGATGCGCGTCCTCGGGCAATTTCCTGATCTTGTTACGTGTACGAACGCGCTTCTGGGTGTCATTGTAAGCAACAGACGTTTTGTTCCCATGTCTGACGTTCTTGAACAGGTCGTCATGATTGTTCATATGCCGGTGTCGTTGCGATCCTTTTCATTGGAGAATACGTCTCTCTTTCGTATGTTTTGCCATTTGTAGTGCTGTTACTGACACAACCTGTTTGCAGCGAAAAGGGATGACAAGGGGGTGAACCTTGTAGCGTCTATCTCCAGCGTCGGAGATGCTTGTGAAGGTGATGTTATGTCGATGCTCCAAAAGATTCAAGAAATGATTCCGACCGTTTTCCCAAGTCTATCCGGCATAGGCGACTCCAGTGCTGTTAGCAACCTGCAAGGTTTCAATTGTGGTAAGTTTATCTAATTTGTAAGTTTCCAGCCAGTGTTGATATTCTGTTGCAGACGGCATATTGTATTTTGAGGGCCTGCTCGAAGACCATATGCTAGGCACACATCTGCAAATTCTGGAGAGGCTGTGTGAAGTTGTGGAAGGCGGAACAGTTAAAATGCCAACGCCATCGTCATCTGAAGCAGTTAGAATGCCGCCGCCGACACCTGTTAGCGTAACTATGACGACAGCAAAGTGGTTACGGACCGTTATAGCACCATTACCCGCCGAACCAAGTATAGAATTACTAGATTACCTCAAGTCGTGTGACCGAGACATAACGGAAGAGGTGACGCACAGGGGCAAAGCGTTACTGGAAGCAATATTTCCCGTTTATCCCCAAGGCAGCTGGAGGGCCACTCTCCACAGCAGTGGGAGCTCGGAATGGACCGTACAAAGAAGATCGGAGGCCTCGAAGCTTTACTACAGAGTTCTAACGGCGCTTTGTCGGGCCGAGTTCCTGAGACTTCAGAGCAAGAATTTGACATCGGTGCTGACAAGCGAGAAGTTTCACCGGTGCATGCTGGCCTGCTCTGCTGAGTTGGTCCTTGCGGCACACAAGACCATCATTCTGGCGTTTCCTGCTGTTTTGGAACCGACTGGCATAACTGCGTTCGACTTGAGCAAGGTGATAGAGTCTTTCGTAAGGCACGAACCAACTTTGCCAAGGGAGCTGAAACGACATTTAAACTCTATCGAGGAACGGCTTTTAGAGAGCATGGCCTGGGAGAAGGGGTCGTCGATGTATAACTCGCTGGTGGTTGCTAAGCCCAGGTTCGCACCTGACATACGACGTCTGGAACTTATCAGTGAACCATTGCGAACGTTGGAACCGTTGATACCGTCTTATTCGCAAGGAGGGACGTCCAAAGGGGAAGACATGGCAGCTGAATCAAATTCACCGACCGAGGCTATGCATGAGATCGTAATGGTCGTGTTCTTTCAGAAGGTATGTAGATCCTCTTACATCGCATCGTTCGACCACCTGCTTTGCTGTGCAGGTGTTGAAGCTCGCCGCTAGCCGAATCAAAGTTCTCTGTGAACGCCTTATGCAGCCTAGTTTCGTCGTGGAGCACATTTTCCAGGTTGTTGAGTACGCTCTGAATCGGACAACTATCTTTTTCAACCGGCACATTGATCAAATTCTACTGTGTAGCACGTATGGCGTATGCAAGGTACGATGATATTGTGATGATTACCCAATCACAGCTGTTTAAGAGCAGGTCTTGAGCCTTAACGTCAGCTTTAAAGACATTATATTCCAGTACCGGAAGCAGCCTCAGAGCCGAAATCATGTTTTCAAGAGTGTTTATCTCAAACACCGGGGAGGGGTAAGGATCTTTGTTGAATTTTTAGATGTTATGTTTTCCCTAACAGATTGCCGAGACGGGAGATATAATCAAATTTTACAATACTGTTTTTGTTCCTGCTGTGAAGTCATTTTTAGTGACAATCGCTCCACCTTCGGTGTCTATGACTGCAAGCCAAAGTGATGTGGCAGACGAAAACACAGGTAAAGAGTTCCAAAATCATGTTAGTCTGATTTGAGCTGGTCGTAAATGCAGCGCCTAACTCACCTCCACGGCCATCTGTCCTCCCAGCCATTCCCGACATGTCTCCGAGAAAAGTATCTGCCAGGCACAATGTGTATGTCTCCCCTCTTCGAAATACAAAGGTAAGCTCTTTGCTTTCTGGTTGGATATGACGAGCTCGTACAGGTTGAAAACATCATGTCCCCACACTCAAAAAGTTTGTATGCTTGTGTTGGCGAAAGTACTCACGCATACCAAAGCCCTTCGAAAGATCTTACTGCAATTAACTGTCGCTTAAATTCGTCAAACGGGTTAGTTGTTCACAAGGTTCACACCATCTGGTTTTTAATTGTATTTGCAGGCGAAGGCTTGATTTCCTGGGGCCATCTATGATCAGTGACTCTTTTGTTAGTGGAGCCTTAACCAACAACACTGAGGCGGCAGCCAACGCCCCGAACAACGATGCGAACGTCGATCAAGGCGTACCAAACGACAACCAAAGTCCAATTCCAGATCCTCAGTCTCCTCCAGGGAAACGTCCGAGGCTCGAATAATTTTGAACTCAAAAGAGACGGTAAAGTACCATTGTTATTTTGAATTTTCTTGTCGACCAAGTCTATGCTGCAGATATTATGTACAAGATTTCAACGGACACGTGCACCTTCACATAGTCTCGGCAATACTCTTTAGTGAGGGCCTCCATGGCTTCGCAATCGACATGCCCATTCCTAGCTCACGGGCATCTGGAAAGGTTTGGAACTGCACAACGAGGAAGGAACAGAATCATATGGTGGATTTCTCAAACAGCTCGACTACCTGAGACCCCGTGCCTGACTTGGACGAATCCGGTGCTGTTAGAAATGCTGCATCGACCATGCCACTTACTCGACTGGTGCCAATTTTCCTACTGGAGAAGTTGTTTAGTACTTCTGCAAGGCCAGGTTCAGCACTCTGTCAAGGATCGAACGACACTGACCTTCAAAGCTGATGAGCCGGTAGCAGTTGCCAGTGGCAAGTATGGCCGAGGGGGGCAGGATTTTCATTTTGGGCTTCCGTTTTGGAGACGATGAAGGCTTTGGCCACACGTAGACTGCAACATAGTAGCCGGGATTTTGTAGCATCACCTGACGAGCAGAGATTGTCCAGTACAAGCGCTCCATCCGCCCGTTGGGATACTCTATCAGCGTTGCGACCGCGTCGGAAGCTTGGCAATTCCCCATCGCTTCTAGCTGCTGCTGCTGCTGCTACAAACCAGAGCACTGCGGGGGATGGATGGAGCAGAATAATGGAGAGGACACGTCGTAGTCCTCCATGGCAGCTCCTTGAAAAAACTATGTAGGGAAATGGGAAGCTGGGAAGGGAAAGGCAGGGAAACGAAGACGTCAACCGCCATGGCGCCTCGACTGCTTTGGAGTTATCCGGCTCGTCGATTCGACACGCAGAAGACTTAAGACGATATCAAAAGGCCCAGGAATCGACGCAGGTACTTTTCACTGGCGATAGCTAACACGTATCTGAGCAAAACTTTTTCTTTTTTCAGCTTTGCAGTCATGGTCGGGGAGCTTGTCTTTAGGTGGATGGAATCTCTGCGTCTTAAGACTGACGAAAGAACCTTTCGGCTGATGGAGAGGAGAGACGACGGAGAAGTTTTGGGAGACGACCACACACGACAAGAGTGTGGTCTATCGCGTAAGTTTCAACTGGATTTAAGTCTCTGGTGGACCGCAGCATTGATGAGCAGTGTGACTGGCAACCAAGACGAAATAAGTTCGAGACACGTGGCAAAAATGTTGCGGTGAGAAATTGAGAGGCAACCACCTGTTGATCGTCATTACGTCGTTGAAATGTCGGGTTTGGTAAACATGCCTTGTCAAAAAAATTTAAGGAGTATATTCGTATGTCATGCAATCCAGGCCGTCCATAGTCGATGCCTAAAAGACCCCGAAAGGGAGCTAGAATATGCCGAATAGCGTTTCGCGCGATTTTAGGGTTCTTGATCCCTCTTTCCTAGCGATGCCGCTCAGCATTGGATCTGCACGGGACAGCGTCAAGGGAGAATTCTTTGGCCCGCAACATAGGTAAATTCTTGTGGACTTTCGGAAATGTGACTAAGCCCACCATTTGTTAAACTTGCAGCATGAGCGAAGCATATGAAATTGAGCTCAAGGTGCGCGATTACGAGTTAAACAACTATGGTCTCGTACAGAACACGGTGTACGCGAGCTACTGCGACCATGGTATGGTTTATCCAGTTCCAAGCTTTTCCTGTGCTCATACGCTTTGAAAGGTGCCAAATTTTCACCCAGCAAGACACGAGTTATTTGAAGAGCTGGGAATCAATACTGAGGCTCTTGCCGGGACTGGTGCTGTGCTTGCGCTTGCGGAGCTCAACATCAAGTACTTGAGCCCTTTGAAAGTATGATCTCCTAATTCTTGTTCTATCTGTCCGGGGTATTAATGTTACTTATGCCAGTCAGGGGATGTTTTCCTTGTTACGGCTAGGATAACTGGATCGTCGGCTGTGAGACTGTTTTTCGACCACAACATTTACAAGCTTCCTCACAAAGAAGTCCGTTGGTTTTGTTTAGAACCTTTGCTTTTGGGTTTTCAAGTTCTTTCTTGTTTGCAGCCAGTGTTAGAGGCTAAAAGGATTGTTGTTTGTCTGGACAAGAACGACAAACCAATCAAATTTCCAGCGCGCTTTAGAAATATACTTAATTTATTTATGAGAAATCAAGGATAATTTTTCATGTTGGATAATATTGCAAAATCATTTTGAATAGCACAGACCCGTTTGTGTAAAGAATAGGCCTAGAATATCCTATTGTATTCTAGGATATTCCCTAATCTTATGGCTGTCTCGTAAACTTTCTCTATAATTTTCTTTCAATATAAATCATTGCAAGTGTACAGGGTGGCAAAAAAGCGATGAAGTTCTTCATAGCTAGGATTTTAAGAGTACCAAGTGAAATTTCCCAAACTATAGTAGGATTTTTGTTGTCAGCTTTGGGATCTTCATAAAACCATTAGGAGGAATTGCAACACTTCTACATATTATCCTCTAAGTTAAAAGGATTCACATTGTCTGAAACAGCATGCCAACACAAAGCCATGAACCTTAAAGCTAAGCTATCAAATTTTACATCATTGAGCTCTCATGAAGGGCATAGATTCTAGCCCATGGAAGTATAAAAATGAAATTCTATAAAACTTATAAAAACCAAAGAAAATCATGTTTCTGTTTAATGCAACAAATCATTATTATGATGCAGCATGTTTACAGCTTATATAAAATGAAAGTTATAAAATGTTTTATATAGAACCAGGTTGCAATTGGATCTAATAAAAAAATATATATTTAGTAATTATAATGCTTTAGTTATTGATGTATTAATTAAGGTTTAAACCTACCGGATTTAATCCCAAATGGATACAGTACTATAATTAGTATATTACCTAGATAAGGTAATATATACATACATACATACATATATATTATGAGTGCATGGAATATGGAAATGGAATACAAAAATGTGCATATTAATTAACCCAAAAACCCTAGTTTATACACAGAAGCATGTGGTCCACAATCCAATAGCTATCAAATCCCACCACACTAATATTAAGATATAGCATGGTAATTGTACATTTAATCCTTACATCATCCCCTCCCCTCGAAAGGATGGAAAATAGTCAATGTTCTCTAATGGATGGGCTTAAAAACATCGATAGACTTATATGTGGTATTAGTTGTTTTTGATCCTTTTGTATAAAGTGTTTCAGCCGCTGTATATACACAATTTTTAAAGGATTAGCATATTAGATGTCATGCTAAACCTCATAAATTTGCAACCCAATTTGCCGTAACACTTGATATAGTCCCTTCTACTAAACAAGAAAGACTTTAGACAAACCATATATTGTAAGATTGGGAAAATGGAATAACATCACATCTATTTTGTAATTCTTAAGTGGATGATGATGGGAGTTGTAGCATTGTTATTATCCCATTTGTATCCAGCGTAGGTGTTCGACAAACTCTACTTAGACCAATGGAAGAATGCTTGTCAAATACTAATCCTAAAACCAACCATTTGTAGTTCATAACAATTACAAAAGTAAACCTAACTCCATTAGATTATGACCATATAAAAGTTTATATGGTGAAGCATCAATAGAATTTTACACCCATATAACATATATATACTGAAGTGATGGTAAATAGCCATTTTAATTCAAATATTGAAAGTTTATATACTTTGTGATTATCCCTTTTAAGGTCTAAACAAGTCATTCCACCAAAGTGAATGATGATAAACACTCATGTGTCGCGAATGTGACTTCGGGTATCGAAAGTTACCTGTCAACTAGTCCTTACGGACACTCTTACCTTACTGCCACGATGGCAGGAGGTCAGTATTGCTGGACCCTTTATCAGCCCCTCTTGTGCTAATGGAGTTAACTGGGCATTTCGAGTGTACTTAGACCAGACGAGCATAAGGACGGAATTCCTACGTGTTATTAGCTAAGCATACTTAGCCGGTAAGGAGTTCCCGTCTCGTTTTGTCTTGCACTTGCTAGTGACAAGAACCCTCGCGTATTGAGATTAGTCTCTCAATATCGCTACATGATAGCTTACCGTGTCTGCCAAACACCCTCGCTATCATGCCCTTTGTGTTAGTCTCATTTCGGTCCCAAATGCTATTTATGGAAAGTGTCCAGATTTGTTCATATGGCATATCTACGGAATGTAGAGATCGGCCTGAACACAATGGTGTTTGTCCCATGTCCAAATTCGCAATCTAAGGACATTCCATATTTAGTAAGTTTCGAGCTTGTCCCAGAGACTAACTCCTGATACTAAGGGAGGCTTGGGGTGAAAGCCCAAAGCGTGTGTTCCTCAAGGGGGGGGGGGGCTGTGGGGGGTTCCAAATGTATAGTAGGGATAGTGGGTAGGTCGGGCATGGCCGACCAACTTGAGGCATAGTGTAGCTCCCACTTGCGTGCCTATCCTTGTTCTGTGTCCGGCTTAGGTCTAAGCCCAAGTTCCATTCCATGCTAGTTGGTGGAGTACCCATATCCTCATGTTAGGCCACCGGTATGCCGAAATAGCGCCAGACTCCATTTGGCTCCGTTTTGTGTGCTGGTCCTGGCATTGGGATGCTGGTTACTCTAGGACTGTTCCAAGTCACTCCGGGCTCCTGTCCCTTCGCTCCTTGGGCTGCATGCTTGGGAGTTACTCCGTGGTTCAGTTTCGTCACTCCTTGGCTCCATGCTTGGGGGTTTTGGCACCGTTTCTTCGTTCAGTGGCCAAGGCCCTGAACCTCAGGTTCCTATGGACACGTGGCATGGACATGTGGCATGTGACATGTGGCATCTATCACATGGCACAAAGAGGGTTTAGGTACCACTTCATGATGTTATCCTATGGTAAATCACCATAAGATAAAGGGTCAAAACCACGTGCGCTACATTACTGTAGCGCACCTTATCTCTCTCCTCTTAAACCAACTGGAAAAGGGGCAATTGCTTGATGAGAGAGCCCTTAGTGGCTATTTTATCCCTATTTATCCCCCAAGGTTCCAAGGATCCACGGTGACAGTATATCCAAATCTCATCCCATAATCACATGCGCTACACTCACCCCCCCTTCAGAGATGTCAATGTCCTGATTAACTATTGACCTCTACTAAGCCAAGGGGAACTAGCACCTCCATTTCCGCACTCAATTTACTAATCCTTCTATTGTGTAAATCAGTTATTCCATGTGAGGCAACTAGTCATCCACCCGTATCGCAGTCCCACGGTGGATACCTTCGTCCGTGGATACTCCACACAAGAGGAAGGACGTACGCATGGATGCCCAATACGTACGATTTCAAATTTAGGGGTAGGAATATACCTTGCTCAAGGGTATATTATATTTTTAAGTAGCCATTAATCAATGGGAATCGAACCCGTGCCATTTGCTCCGATACCAACTGTAGCGCACTTTATCTCTCTCCCCTTAAACTAATTGGAAAATAGGCAATTGCTTGATGAGAGAGCCTTTAGTGGCTATTTTATCCCCATTTATCCTTCAAGGTTCCAAGGATCCACGGTGACAGTATATCCAAATCTCATCCCATGATCACATGCGCTACATCATGAAAGTGTGGTGTATCCCCAACTGAAACATTAAAACATGAAATGTCTCAGCCATAAATATGGGATCATTATCCAAAAGAATTTACTTGGGACAAAAATGTTGAAACACCATTTGATTAAAGAGGAAATATCTAACAATAGTTGCAAATGCACTAGCAAAAGCACTAACTTCCACCTAGCGAGTCAAATAGTCAAAAGTAATAATAATATACTCATTATCAATCTGTGGAAAAAACCCCATCAAATCAAATGCCACCAACTCAAATAAACAAAAAATTACAATTGACTCCCACTGTCCTTCTATAGCATGAAAGAGAGTATTACAAACTTGACACCAAACATAGCTACTCATATACTAAATAATATCACGTCACATTTTTTACCAATAGAAAGACCTACATAGCTTCTCAATCATACGATGATGTCCTATATGCTCACATAGAATAGAAAAATTATGGTAGGCATAAAGAAAATATGGAATAAAGATCAAAGGCACCACTAATTATAAATGATTATCAAAATTCGTCCTTACAAAAAAGCATCCTTTTTGTGTGAACTCAAAAAATAGGGAAAAAGGGAATAACATTTTCTCATGACTTTGATAGTGGAATAATCTAGGGAATCTCACACAAAGCTAACAAGTGACCACAAACAAATATACTAGCTACGTTGCATTAAAGAACCCATACCCAAAGTGTTGGTGTAGACTCCAAGGTGATGCCCTATGTCAATAATTGCTATGAGGAGAAGAGACCAAAGAAAAAACAAAGGAAAGTGAAAAATAAGAAAGAGAGCATAGAGTTCTAGAGTCAAGGGGAAATCACATGGGAAAACTTGACAAAAGAAATAAACACTAAAATGAAAGTGGAGGAAAAAAACGTGAAAATGAGAGAAGAAAAAGAGAACAAAGGAAAAATGGAAAAAGAGAAGATAGAAACATAAAACTAAATAGGAGAACCAGTTACTTGAACTCCAACTTAAGGCCTCCTCACCTCTAGAAAGTGTCTTAAACATAGCCTAACTGCTCTCAAAGTTCCAAGGGAATGAAGTGATGAAAGTGAATGTGTTGCCTAGGAATGGTAACTACAAGAATGATGAAAGATGGCTGCCTAATAAATGCATGGTGGAAGATAGTGATAGCCAATTGTAATGGAGTGATAGTAGAGGGGATTTGGCAACTTGTGAATATAGTCAACGTATTCAGCAGCATATATGATAGTCCATCCAAAGTAATTCCTGGTTTTTTGTGTGCATCTGGTCCAACCAGCTCTCAAGAATCAGTTGCTAAGTGTCCTAGATTTACCTGTACTTGCTACATCGAGATAATCTGTATCATATCTTGAGTTTGACATGTTAGATTTGGCTGTTTCTTGATGTTTTTGCTGTGTATTTTGATGATGAATAGAGTGATGTAATAGGATCCTCAAGATCATTTTTGCATGGTGAGAAAAGTGAAGAAATGTGAACCAAGCAATTGTAGTGAGTGGTAAATAGTGGTGTAGCAAGTAGTGAAATAAATCAATTGTGACTATGAGTAATGGAGAGTGATGTTGAAGATAGATGGAATGATATCATGTAAAGAAAACATAGGAACTG